CAGATATGGAGGACAGTGTGTAAGACGTTTCATGATGTTTCTTATAGGAAAAGACAGTTTTATAATCGTTGTTGCAGGGTAATCTTGTGACATGAGAAGATAGTGTGCAGTGATGATTGCTGCATGAGATAGAGTGATGGTGTTCATGAAGATATCCTGATAGGAGATTGCAGTCACACAGAGGAGAGCGGAGGCCGTCACAGCGAGGAGAATGCAAGCAATCACACAGAGGAGAGAGGGACAGACACAGAAGAGAGTGCAGGGCAGGCAGACAGAGGAGTGTGCAGGGCAGGCAGAGGAGAGTGCTGGGCAGGCAGAGGAGAGTGCTGGGCAGGCAGAGGAGAGTGCTGGGCAGGCAGACAGAGGAGTGTGCAGGGCAGGCAGACAGAGGAGTGTGCAGGGCAGGCAGGCAGACAGAGGAGAGTGCTGGGCAGGCAGACAGAGGAGAGTGCTGGGCAGGCAGACAGAGGAGAGTGCTGGGCAGGCAGACAGAGGAGAGTGCTGGGCAGGCAGACAGAGGAGAGTGCGGGGCAGGCAGACAGAGGAGAGTGCTGGGCAGGCAGACAGAGGAGAGTGCTGGGCAGGCAGACAGAGGAGAGTGCAGGGCAGGCAGACAGAAGAGGATGCAGGACAGGCAGACAGAATAGGTTACAGGTCAGGCAGAAGAGAGAGTACAGGGCAGGCAGAAGAGAGAGTGCTGGGCAGGCAGGCAGAATAGGGTACAGGGCAGTCAGAAGAGAGGGCAGGCAGAAGAGAGAGTGCAGGGCAGGCAGACAGAAGAGTGAGCAGGAAATGCCAGATCCGGTAGCACAGGCAGTCATTCTGATCCTTCCTCTTCTCTGCAGGCAATGTCTGGGTCTATTCCCTGTACAGTGAGCCGTGGGATTCACCAACAGACCCGAAGAGATGTAACCGAGTCCTTTACCTCTACGCCTTCTGGATCACAACTGTGTGCTACCTCTGCTTCGCTGTCCTTCTCCTTATCTACCTCTGCCTAGTGGCTGTCCTCTGTCTCCTGAGGAGGCTCATTCCCTAAGCACCTCAACCCCCGAGTCACAAAGACATTATTCCTGGGATGTCCATCCTCCATGTGTACCACCAATTGTATAAAGCAGAACACCACCAGCTTCCCTTCCCCATCCTCCATGTGTACCATCAATTGTATAAAGCAGAACACCACCAGCTTCCCTTCCCCATCCTCCATGTGTACCATCAATTGTATAAAGCAGAACACCACCAGCTTCCCTTCCCCATCCTCCATGTGTACCATCAATTGTATACAGCAACTATACTGAAGGGTCACTACACCTACATTACTGCTGTACCAGTTTTTAGTGTGTATCCAAACCCAAGAACAAAACTGCAATATATTACAGCTCAACCAACCTTACATTTGGTGGCTGCTTTACTTTACTTCCTGTCCTAGGGCTACAACGCTTACTCACTGTACTGTATCTATGGGGAAGCAACGTTGTCACCCTGCAACAAGCCACACCCTCATCATCTACATAAAAGATACAGGGGGGCTTATGTCACCTTTAAAAAGTAACTGATTAGGGTGCGGCACAGGAAGTTCTCGGCTTACTTGATTTCTGGCAGTATCACTGTCTCCTGATCTTCAAAAACACCTTCATGTGAATTAACTAGGCCGCGCTGTGCCAACGCCTGAGCTCTCAGATGCTCACCGGAGATAGATAACGCGGTTATGTTCCCAGACCAAGAGAGCTTGACTTATCCCCAGTGTCGCTGTCATAAATTTCCTGCAACATATGATGTGACCTCTTCAGCTAATAAAAGAAAATCTCTTCCAGGAATATATTACAATGTATCGTCTTTATATCTCAGTTTAGCTTTATATATCCTCCGCGTTGTTTACATTTCCTCCAATTAAAAACTCCACATAGTCTCATACCATGAAAACTAGGCATGCACCGAAATATCGTCCGCCGAAACATTTCGGACGAAAGTGGTACTGGACGTCGGTCTATGTCCCCTTTGATGCCCGCTGCTCTCCCCCGCCCATGTCGGCAGAGGGTATCCAAAGGGAGCAGACAGCTGTCACAGGAGGCAGAACTCTCCACCGCCCCACTCAGCCTCCTGTGACCAGTGGCGTAACAACCGGGGGGGGGGGCGACGGTGTTCCGGCCCCGGACGCAAAGATGCGGGGGGCGCCAGCCGGCAGGGGAAGGGAAGCAAGGACGGACCTTCTTCCTGTGCTGAGAAATCTATCAGAGAGCAGTCCTGCACTGCTCGCCTCTACATTGTTTGATCTCCGTGACCCTGACGAGAAGCGTGCCGGTGCTTGCATTCCGGGACTGAAAGGAATTCCAGGCTGTAAAGTCTCTGTACTGGAGGGAGGTGAGTATGTTTACATATATTACACTGACCTCTGTGCAACCAGTCCAGAGTTTTTCATGTTGAAAATGTGGGAGATGACATGCTTCCACTCCCTGAGGGATGCTGTGCAGACGGACAGAATTAGTGATTTTGCTAATAAATTTGATGCCTGTAGAAATGTGCACTGGAAAAAGATGTCTGGATCAGGACAGCAGAAAATGTTCGATTTAATGAAATAATCAGTATTTAATAATTGATTAAATAACTAATATGTATCAAATAATTAATTTAATAGTTAAATAGTCCAGAGTCCTGACTCTATTCCCGTGTCCATTGCTTTGCAGAGCCCCGCGTCCATTGCGTTGCAGAGCCCCGCGTCCATTGCGTTGCGGAGCCCCGCCGTCTATTGCGTTGCAGAGACCCATATCCCATTGCGTTGCAGAGCCCCGCGTCCATTGCGTTGCAGAGCCCCGCCGTCTATTGCGTTGCAGAGACCCATATCCCATTGCGTTGCAGAGCCCCACGTCCATTGCGTTGCTGAGCCCCGCGTCCATTCTGTTGCAGAGCCCTGCCATCCATTGCGTTGCAGAGCCCCGCCGTCCATTGCGTTGCAGAGACCCATATCCCATTGCGTTGCAGAGCCCCGCGTCCATTGCGTTGCAGAGCCCCGCGTCCATTGCGTTGCAGAGCCCCGCGTCCATTCTGTTGCAGAGCCCTGCCGTCCATTGCGTTGCAGAGACCCATATCCCAACTGTGACAGGTGGAGAGTCAGGATGGAGAGCGAGGAGCAGTGAGCTGTCAGAGAAGATCGCGCTCTCCTCCGGCACCGCCCCGCTCAGCCTCCTGTGACAGGTGGACACAGTGGCGTAACTAGAACCTTAACACCATCATGGCACCGTGTGGTTAACAGGAAGGCTGCCGAGGTCCCCAGCAAGCACAACGCAGAATACCACCAGCTATGCAGGACCACAAGTCCCAGCACTACATTATACTCCCGTACAGCAGAATGTGCTGCCTGGCGGTGCCTGCAGCACATTCTGCTGGACAAGTGACAGCCTCTCCAGCCCCGCACAGCCGCCCACCCTGGTAGTTCCGCCAGTGGGTGTAGAGTCAGGATGGAGAGCGGGGAGCAGTGAGCTGTCAGGATGGAGAGCGTTATACAAACAGTCACCGATTAGCTGATTGCTTGTAAATAATTTAGGACATGGTATGTTTACTGGGTCCCCAGTTATGAATGAACAGGAAGTGCTCTACATCCCTTCCTGTTCATTCATGATTGTGGACATAGTAACTGATACTATATCCTCAGGTTACGAATGGACAGGAGCACTCAGTATAGAGGATTCCTGTTCATTCATAACAGAGGCTGCAGAAAAAGAGATGCAGGACTCTGTATCTGAGGACTCTGCGTCCTCCATTTCTTTTTTTTAATTTTATAAATATAAAAATACTAATAATATTTGTTTTTGCCTCTATAGGCACAGGTGATTGGCTCTGCGCACTGAATATAAATAGACCCCTAAGGCCTTGTTCACACCAAATGCAGACCAGATCCGGTCAGGTTTCTGCACACGCAGTGCAGTGGGTTGTGCCGCGTTTTGGATGCGTTTAGGGCCGGTTTTGGTAAAAAAAAAAAGTTTAACATGGGCTTTCAGGCACTTGCATGCGTTTTTTATGCATTTTTGCGTTTTAGATGCGTTCCAGAGCAGATCCAGAGCAGGTAAAATAGGGCTTGCCGCAGTTTTTTCACCTGCTCTGGATCTGGTCTGGATCCGTACGCTGTGATGTGAACTGGAGGTCAAAATACCATTGGAATACATTGGACGCAGTTTTGATCCGGTCTGCACCTGCTCTGCTCTGGATCTGCTCCGCGCTTGGTGTGAACAAGGCCTAAGTGTCATGCAGCATTCTCCACTCATATCCCCATCACATGTATGACAGATATTATCCTTCAATGTACTTTTGTTCATCTGTGTTTTATTTTGAAAACCTTACGTTATATTCTAGTGAAACTTTTTGAGTCCCTCGTCTCCTCTGAGCCGCCATTCGTGAACGGCCGGACGGAAGTCTGCTCAGAGCGGGTGGGCGTCTTAAGACGTCCTGCCCCCCCCCCCCCCCATGGTTAATTTAAAAAAAAAGTTAAATAAAAATTGTTTGCAATTTGAACAAGGGAGGCCTGCTTTCATATGTCTCCATATCACCGCCATATTACGTGCGCCAATTCCAAGACAGTGCCTCGGTCTTCGAAAAGATGGCGGAACAGAACCTCGCATAAACAGGACTAGAACATACACTATGGAACCGCCGTTTAAACTACGATGATACATTGATGGGCTACAACAATAAGCGAACAAAAGCAGCGAGCAGAAACTCTCACACGTAACAGACGCTCATTGTTCTTCTTGACCACGCAGGGACACCAGAGCGAGGACAGCCCTCAGTACTATACAGCCAACCAATCAGAAAGCTAATAGGTGACAGAGAGAAACTGACAGACATAAAAGCGAATCAGAAACAAGAAGCACCAATATGTGTCGTTTCCCCCGCCTAACAGAAACGCGAGTGGGACTGGTGACTTGATTGACAGAGTGCCTGACCGCTCAGGACGCAGGAATGAAGAACTGGCCGGGGAATTAACCTATAGGAAGAGGAGTGGCACGGTTTGACTATAAAGAAAGGAGGCGGGGCTGGGAGTGAAGGAGGAAGTAGCCGGGTGTAGGAGAAGCAGACATGGTGAGTGGTCATGTGATGCGTATACAGTGTTGTGTTTCTTTTAAAGTAGATGTAAACCCCAAATTAATGACAGTTACGTTTGCTGCAGCACAGAGTATCATAAACGGCCGCGACTGTGTCTATTACATTCTTCTTCCCAGCTTCCTTTTATCCTGTGTTACCTTTCAGAACTGCTGATCTCCTGCATCCCCTTTGCATCCACTTCCGGTCTACATGCACTCCAGAAATGGCTGCATGACATTTTTTATGGCTGGTTTCCTGATGGTGACCACAGTGGACCATGTCTGTGCAATGTGTTTTGAAACAGCCACTTGTAGTCTCCATGGGAAGCCTGTGTGACAACGCAGGAGCACAATTGGTAGACAGGGCCAGAGCATTGTCACCCTATATCAGGAATTGCCCGAACGAGGACCTACATGGCAGCGTCACCAGGGATTATTTTATAGTGTAGTTATACCCTAAAATATTACTACATAATCCATCTGATGACCCTGGGACTCACTTTGTGAGCTGCTTCCTCCTTGTCAGGTCACCTTTCCTACACATTCAGCCCGCCCCCTGTTTGCTGCCCCAGCTTTCCAGTTTTCTGGATTCTGC